GCGCCCTGGGGGGCTTACGATCTGCGCAGTTTGTCGCCACTTTCGTGGGCTCCTGGGATGCCCAGCGGAGGTGGGTCCCACGCGGACCACCTCGAGACCTCGCGGCGCCCTGGGGGGCTGCGATCTGCGCAACCGTCGCCACTTTCGTGGGCTCTTGGGAGGCCCAGCGGAAGGACGTCCCACGCGGACCACCCCGAGACCTCGCGGCGCCCTGGGGGGCTGCGATCTGCGCAACTGTCGCCACTTTCGTGGGCTCCTGGGAGGCCCAGCGGAGGTACGTCCCACGCGGGCCATCTCGAGACCTCGCGGTGCCCTGGGGGGGCTGCGCTCTGCGCAATTATCGCCGCTTTCGTGGGCTCCTGGGAGGTCCAGCGGAGGTACGTCCCACGCGGACCACCTCGAGACTTCGCGGCGCCCTGGGGGGCTGCGATCTGCGCAATTGTCGCCACTTTCGTGGGCTCCTGGGAGGCCCAGCGGAGGTACGTCCCACGCGGACCACCTCGAGACCTCGCGGTGCTCTGAGGGGCTGCGATCTGCGCAACCTTCGCCACTTTCGTGGGCTCCTGGGAGGCCCAGTAGAGGTACGTCTTACGCGTTGCCGCTGCTCTTCTTGCTGCACTCTTCTGAGTTCACTGTTGGGTGCTCTTCTTCCGCCCTGAGTTTTTTTTGTTTTTTTTTCCCCGAATGCCCGTTAGCATTGAGTGGTCCCGGTTGTAACCACCACATGTATAGAAAGGGTTGGGTACGTCGCAGGGTAATTCCATACGGAGCTCTCGTTTGCCGCTTCCTCGAAGGTCTTGCCTGCAAGTGAAAATGTTGCAACAGTTACCAGGTTGGGGGTTGGCCCTTCTTCGAAAGGGGGTATAGTTGATCATAATCTCTAGCACTTCTGGGTATGCGCATGATGGGTGAAAGGCGGTTCGTGTTCAGCAATGAACCCTCAACCAAATGGCAGGGCCATGCGCCGCCATTTCTTCAAGGACGGACCACGGACTGTTTATAGGGACGTAGGAGGAGGGGACTTGGGGTGAGAGGGTGAATTGCAGCATCGCTGATGCATCTTGGATGTACTCTGGTCCTCCTTTTCATGATCCTACTCGAAGGCCTAGCTTTTGTCTGGTTTGAAACCTGTTCGTGTCAAGCCTGTCCCGCTTCAAATGTTGAGCCCCCTTGGGCCGCGGAGGGTGCACCTTCACTGGTGGTGCAGGCGGCTCGTTTCGACGAGGAGAGAGCAGACCTAGATTATAGCCAGAAGAGTAACCGCATGCCGATGATAATAAAGGGACCCCCCCCTTCAGTGTTTAGAGTTATCTGTCATCTCTTGATCATCTCTTGATCATGATCATCTCTTACTTCGAGATTATGCTGAGGTCTGCTGGGCTACTTTTGTTATCTCTCCCTGAACCCCGAACTTTATTATCCCCTAGTGTTTATTCTCACGGGCATGAGGTTAGCCGATGGATGCCTGGGAGGAGGGCGAGGCGCGAGGCGGCAGAGTAGCAACAGCGCGTAGCGGCCAGGGACACCAGATGGGGCGGGGCACGGTGCGTTCGCCCATCTGGAGGGAGGGAGGGAGGGAGGGAGGGGAAGTAGGCTGAGTGAAGCTTCCAGATCTCCGGCGATGTGATTGTGAAAGCCTTACGGCCGGTGCCGCCGACCCTGAAGACGACGACGACGAGGACGTCAAGGAGGAGGAGGAGGGGGAGGAGGAGCTGCAGGAGGAGGAGGCGGAGGACACGGTGGAGCAGCAGGAGGAGAAGGAGGAGGAGGCGGGAGAGGATGAGGAGGGGGAGGAGGGCAGGGGGGGACGGGGAGGGAATGAGCAGTAGGAGGACGAGGAGAATAGGAGCCGCAGGAGCATGAGAAGGAGGGATGCGAGGAGGGGAGAGGAGGGAGGAGGAGAGGATGAGGAGAGAGCAGGAGGATGGAGGGAGGAGGAGGAGGATGGGGAGGAGGAAGGATGGGGAGGAGGAGGGCGAGGGGGGAGCATGATGAGGATGATGATGGATGGATGGATGATGATGAGGAGGGAGGAGAGGAGGAGGAGGAGGAGGAGGAGAGGATCCGAAGGAGGGGGGGAGAGGAGGAAGGGTGAGGCGGAGGAGGAGGAGGAGGAGGAGGAGGAGAGAAGAAGAAGAGAAGAAGAGCAGGAAAAAGCAGGAGGAGCAGGAGGACGCGGTTGAGCAGGAGGGGGAGGAGGAGAAGGAGGAAAAGCATGCGGAAAAGGATGAGGAGGGGAGTTGGGGCAGGAGGAGTCGAGTAGGACAATGAGCAGGTGGAGGACGATGAAGACGAGGCGGAGGAACAGGAGGAGGAGGAGAGTGAGGAGCAGGGGAACGAGGGGATGCTTGTCGGGGTCTCGTCTGAGCGCTGTCTGGGGCCTGTGTTGGGTAGTTTGGGGGCGTTTGGGGAGACTCTTGGGGGGCCTCTTTGGGAGCTTCTCGGGAGGGTCCAGGGACTTCCTGGGGGCTTCTTGGGGGCGTCTTGGAGGCCTCTCGGGGCCCCCTGGGAGCTTTTCGGTGGCGAGGGCTCGAGATGTCCGTTCGGGTTCCCCTGTCTGGGCATTCTCTTAGAGCCGTACTAGGTGCCTCTTGGCATGTCTTGTAGGCGTCTCGGGCCGTTTCGGGGCCCCTCTTGGCAACGTTGGGAACCTCTTGGGGGACTTTGGGCCGTCTTGGGGCGAACTCTGGGGGCCTCTTGGGCCGTTTTGGAGCGTGGGGAAGCGGAAGAGGCGAGAGCGCCAGAATCCTTCGAACACCGACGGGATATATATATATATATATATATATATATATATATATATGTATGTATGTATATATATAGGTGTGTGTATATGTATATGTGTATATATATGTATATATATGTATAGATGCACCTATATATATAGACATTATATATATATATATATATATATATCCGTAAGGGCTTCGCCCCATGCCGCCGGCCCCCTGTCTCGGATAATGGGAGATGCAGAAAGCTAAATCATGAGGTCTGGGCGCCGCCCTGAAGCAGTGTCGGGACCTGTTTGTTTTTGTCGACCCTGACCCTACGGATCTGCGTGAGGGGTGCCGCCGAGTTTCAGAAATGTAGCAAATCCCTTGTGCTTTTTTGGACCCGGACCATACGGATATGCGTGAGGGGTGCCACCGGATTTCAGAAATGTGGCAAGTCCCGTGTGTGTTTTGGACCCTGACCCTGCCGATCTGCGTGAGGGGTGCCGCCGAATTTTAGAAATGTTGCAAATCCCATGTGTTTTTGGACCCTGACCCTGCCGATCTGCATGAGGGGTGCCAGCAAATTTCAGAAACGTGGCAAACCCCATGTGTTTTTGGACCCTGACCCCGCCGATCTGCTTGAGGGGTGCCGCCGAATTTCAGAAATGCGGCAAATCCCATATGTTTTTCGACCCTGACCCTGTCGATCTGCGTGAGGGGTGCCACCAAATGTTAGAAATGTGGCAAATCCCCTGTGTTTTTGGATCCTGACTTGCCGATCTGCATGAGAGGTGCCAGTACATTTCGGAAATGTGGCAAATCCCATGTGTTTTTGGACCCTGACCCTGCCGATCTGCGTAGGGGGTGCCAGCGAATTTCAGAAATGTGGCAAATCCCGAGTGTTTTCGGACCCTGACCCCGCCGATCTGCGTGAGGGGTGTTAATTTGTTCCCGCCCCAACTATTCAGAGCACACGCTCAGGGCGTGAAATGCCCGTTTTGGGCCTCCCCCTCTCGCGCGGTCCATCAACAAGGAACAGTAAGCAGCAAGATGGAGAATTGTAACAGTGGAAACTAGAAGCTGCAACTGGCACAGGAAACTGCGAAGCTTCGGCCTACAGCCTGGTGGCCCCACAAGGGGGCCGGCGGATATATGAACGTTGCCTTGTTGGGCCTTCTTGGGAGTGCTCCTGGATGCCTCTTGGTGCGTTTTGCAGGCGTCATGGGCCTTCTGGAGGCCGTCAAGGCATCTTGGACAGATCGTTCGGCGATTCGACGCCCTCTTGGACCATCTTGGGGGTCCCTTCGGGCACTCTTGGCCCGTCCTGGGGCTGGGGCTGCGTGTTGAAGGGGCTGCCTCGAGAGTTTCGTCTCGCCAGGGGGGGGTGGAGGCCGGAGTCGGAGTGTGAGTTCGCTGCCTGAGCAGTGTCACCCTGCCAGGGGTGGCAAGGGGGTCGGTTGACGAGGAAGGTAAGAGGAGGAGGAGGAGGAGGAGGAGGATGCGGAGGACCAGGAGGAGGAGGAGGAGGAGGAGGAGGAGGAGGAGGAGGAGGAGGAGGAGGAGGGGGGAATGAGGGAGGACGGAGCAGGAGGGTCAGCAAAGGTTCCAGCAGTACGGAGCTACGTGTGTCATGGGCCGTGCGTCCCCTGGCTGCATGCGACACTAACTGCTGGCAGTGTCGAGCGTTTCGCCCATCCGTCTGCGAGGATCTGGGGCGCGGGGGGTGGGAATGCTGGGGCGGGCTGGGCTCCCTGGAGCTCCCGGAGCCGTCGCCTGCGCGCTTCGGAATTCCGATGCCGTTTTGCTTGCTGTGCTCGAGGCTGCGGGCCAAACGCAGGAGGGGAACAAAACACAAACACAATCAATCGTTGATCCCCGGGAAAATATGGGAAGATCTGGGAAGTGGGGGGGAAGCCGAACGTCCAGAAGATATGAGAAACTGTGGGGGATCTCTGCATTCGTGTGCACTTATTTGCGTGTCCCTGGGCCCCTTCACAAGCGTGCCTCCCCTGGGCCGCAGAACCCAGGCATCGCGAGGCAGACGACCTCGTGCCTCGTTGGTTCGCGCCCCGCCGTGGCGCGGGCGCAGGGAGAGACCGCCGCGCTTCGACCGCGCGCGGCGAGGGAGCACGGGGGAGGAGGGGGAGGAGAGAGGCTGAAGGAGGGAGGGGGGGGGGAGGAGGGAGGACGAAGCAGTGAGGAGAGACAAGAAGGGCGGGAGGACTGGGTGATGGGGAGGGGAAGAGGGGGAGGGGCATGTTGGCAGCGCCCGCAGCGTGTCCGCAGGCGCTCACGAGGATGGCATCCGGTGGGAGGCTGCTCTGGCCATGCTGCGCGGCGCCAACGTGTGGCAGGCAGCAGATGTCAAGGGTCCGAAGAGCACTCCTGCCACTGCCATGCACTGAATCCCTCCATCCTTCCGTCCACCTTCTCCCATTACTGTCCTCATTCTTGCAATGGAGGCCCATGCCAAGAAACACCCTGCTTACCTCCAGGGTGCCCTGGGGGGTTCTCGGGTTTTGATGGTTTTGTTATGGAAAGCGTGACGTTCCCGCACCAAACATCAATTGACGTCCTGGGGTCTCAGGGTTGGGTTTCCGTTGGAAGGTTTCTTGTGGTCGGGCCCCCTCTGTACTTCTCGCTCCTTCCTTCTCTGTCCCTCTGGAGGCGCGGGGAGCTCCACCAAAGGCTCCAGTGGCAGCGCTCGCATGAGTCCCCGCGCCCATGTCTGCACACCCCTCGCACGATCCGTGGCCCCACAGGGATGCTCCCCCTCCTTCGTCCCACCTGGATTGCGGTACTCAGGCCTGCATATAGTTGGGTTCGTCGCTAGTTGTTGCGTTCCCCACTCTTTCACATATATATATATATAGACATACATGTTTACACGTTCGTCTACACATATACAGACACATATACAGACATCGGTCTACATATATATCGCTACCGCCATTCATCACTCCCACTCTGTCTACCTGGTCTATCTCTCTCTTTCCTCCCTCTTTTTTTTTCGATTTATTTACATTTATATGTTGTTATACAGTTCTCTCTCTCTCTCTCTTCCTCACTCTCTCGCTTTCCCTCTCCCTCTGTCTGAATCGATTCCTCTCTCTCTATCTCTCTCTTGCTCTGTCTACATGCCTGTCTGTCTGTCTGTCTGTCTTTCTCACTCTCTCTCTCTATCTCACTCTCTCTCTCTCTCTCTCTTTTGCGCAATCCTCCCTCCCTAACTGTCCTTTCTAGAGGGGTAGTCAAGTCTACCCCCCACCCGGGGCCGGAGTTAAAGGGCCCCCCTCGCGAGATGTAATTTGCATATGATTCGGACTTGTCCATTGTACACATGATCAGAGCCCCGAATCATCAGGGGTAACTCGGGTCAGGGCTAACTCGGGCTCGTTTTTCGGGAATCCGAACCCGAGTTGCCCCGGGCCCGAGTTACCCCGGATAATTCGGGCGCCCAGAGCCCCGAATCATCAGGGGTAACTCGGGTCAGGGCTAACTCGGGTTCGTTTTTCGGGAATCCGAACCCGAGTTACCCCGGGCCCGAGCTACCCCGGATAATTCGGGCGCCCAACATGAATTCATACCATCACAGGCAAGCCGGTACCGCCCCCCCCCGCCATCCTCCTACAAATAATGCCGTGCGCGCACTCTCGTTTATCAGACATCCGCAGTTTTCAATCATCCCTTGTAACGGATGGGGCGAAGTGCACACGCGCGCGTCATCGCGCGCGCATGCCGCAATTCCTCAGCAACCTTATGGTTTGTAAGGGTTTCAAGATCGAGCGTCCCGAGAACATTTAAACACATGGTTTTGCGACAAGAATTTTCAAACGACGAAAAGTGTGCGCCCGCGAGAACGACAGGTTTTTCAGGATTTTCATAAAACGCTTCCGAATTGGCCTCTCGCGCGCGCGTGTCGAAATCGATCGAACGCCCTTGCGCGAGCGCGCGTAGTGTCGCAAGAATCCCAGGCAAGACATGGGACGACGTGTACACGCGCGCGTCGTCGCGCGCGCATGCCGAAATCCTTGAAACAAGAGTGCTCGGCTTCGTCCGCAAACCCGAGTGCCCCGAAGACAAATTACAAACACACGGTTTTGCAACATCAGTTTCCAAGAAGTCTTGCGCTCGCGCTCTTGCGGATTCTTAAGAAAACCATAGTTCCCCAACGTGTTCATCACATTCTGCCAAGCGGGAACGCAACTGCGCGCGTGCAGGGGGTTGCACTATCCGTGTCTAACAATACCACGCGGGCCAATCGCGCGCGTCGGCCGCGCGCGCATGTCGAACTCCCTCAAAACTTTCATCGCCGACACGGCGCCGTCATTGGCCTTGCCGTTGTCCTAAACACCGTTGTCACCGTCGCTCTTGTCATAATCGTGTCTACCGTTGTCGGCGTCACCATGATGCCGCACCCGCCCAAGTCACCGACTCGCACTGAAGTGCCCATTGGGAAGTGCCCAGCGGTCAGCGCCACCGCGGCCGCGTCGGTCGCACCGAACTAGCTGGCCGCTGCGCGCGCGAGCAATGCCCGGGCTAGTGCGGCCGCAGAGATGCCCCAGCCAACGCCAAGCACTCGTCGCAATCGCCGCCGCCTGGGTTTTGCAATCCAAGTTGCGGATGGGTGGGTGGGATGTTTGTAAGAGCGCGGCTCACATATATGTTCCGTGTCTCGTTTTTTGTCCTCCCCCCTTAACAACGCCCGGATGTTGATTAGCCCCTTCCACGAGCGGGCTTTTCACGCAAATGATTTCAAGCATTGCGTTTTCAGTTGTGGTTTGCTCAACGTTGGACGTTTTCATCCCCTCTTACACCCCACACAACTTCCATAAAACCACCCTCCCTCCGCTTCCCTCTCCTCCCTTTTTTTCACGGCTGTTGCATCTGAGCAGTTCGCTCCCATATCGCATGATACCGTATGGATTCCATTGCTGAATCAGTAGGTCTCACGTACATGATTGGCTGAAGCGGATTGCACATGCTGTTTTCACTACCAGAGCACTCCCGACTCCTCACAGGTTGTGTTCTGGCAGCAGCGTAGGCAACAACTGGCATGTTCCATAAAGCATCCGTCCAACGGAACGGCGCTCTCGTCGCGGCGTTGGCTGTTACTCTTGCATTCGGAAAATGTGCCCGCTGAGACGTTTGCCACGCATCAGGATTTACAATTGACTTGCCATCCGATGGGGTGACGTTCTCGCCGCCGCGCTGGCCGTGTTCCTGCGCCAGGTAGGGTGTAGTTCCCGTTGCCGCGTATGCCATGTGCAGAGTTTTCGTTGGAACGACGTTCTCGCCTTCGCGTTGCCCGGTTTACTGCATCAGCAAAAGTGGTACCCCCGATGCGTGATCCACGTCTTGTCCGTCATTCGATTATACGAATAGATTCCATGGTAAGGGATGGGCGGGAGCGATCTGACGTTCTTAAATTTTAGATACACATATGTATGAGTGTCCCCCCCTCCTCCCAATGTTAATGGATGTTAATGGGATCGCCCCCCCTCCGCTGGATGGGTCCGCCACCCGTGAGCCTCGCGAAGGCCTCGCGTACGGGATCCCCCCTACCCCCCGTGCTCGCGGCCCTGTGGGCGTGGTGTGGTGGTGGGTGCTGATGCTTCCCCCCCTGTGGGTGTGGGGCGGTTCGTCGTAGTCGTCGTCGTCGTCGTCGTCATCGTCGCCGCCGTCGCCGTCGGCCGTCGGCGTCGGCGTCGGCGTCAGTGGCGTCAGCATCGGCGTCGGCCTCGGCCTCGGCGTCGGCGTCGACGGCGTCGGCGGCGTCAGTATCGGAATCGGCGGCGTCATCGTCGTCGTCGAGGTCGTGATCGCCGTCGTCGTTGTCGTCGTCGTCGTCGTCGCCGTCCTCCCCCCGTCCCATCTAGGGGGGGACCTGCGGAACCCTCGACATGGGATCATCTATTGCATCTTGCTCCCTCCCACCTCCTCTCTAACGCTTTCTCTCCCCCTCCGCTCCCCCTCACTCCCCCATTGTCCCGTCCGCACGCCGCCCCCCGTCTTCCGTTCTTCTCCCCCACATGGCCTCAACACATATATATATAGAGATATATACAGTATGATCACGAAGACGTTCGGCCATCTCCGAACATTGTTTGTTGCAGACAGGGTCTCAACAGTGGGTCGATCCTATGCGTGTATGATCCGATTGCGTCGATCCTTCGGAGTGGTGCTCCCGCTCCAGCGCGGGCCTCATGTAGGGTCGGAGTTTCGCTCCCGTGGTGCAGGCCGGCAATATTGCCCCAGCGCGTTTTTGGGGGATCGGAGCCGTTCCTCATCGTTGTCGCCCCGTCTTTCCCTTGCTCCGCCTTCCCCTGGCTCTCATGCTCCTATCGCTCCTTGTTCGGCCTCGTCCTCCTCCTTCCTCATCCTCATCCTCCTTTTCCGTCTGCTCATCCCCCAGCTCATCCGCTACCTCCTCCGTTACCTCCTGCAATTGACGCATCTCCTCATTTCCGATTGCGCGCGATGGGGTCATCTCTGGAGCTCCAGGTCCGCTGCGACGCGCGTCCGCGGACAAGAGAGCACATCAGCGCCATGGGAAGGGGTGGGTGGGAGGGGTAGGATGTCAGATGGGGCGCGAGCAGCACAGCTTGCCTCGCCACACCTGCCCCCCCATCCCCCCTGCCCCGCCCTATCTCCCCCTCCCTCGCCATGTTCCCTCCCTCTATCCAGCCTGCCTCCCCCCCCTCCCTCCCCCCTGCTCCCCCTCCACCTGCCCCCCCCCCCCCTCCCCCTCCCCTTCCCCTCCATCCATGCAACCTCCCTCCTCCGCCTCCGTCCTCCCCCCCTCCCCCCGGCTTCCCCGTCGTCGTCGTCGTCGTCGTCGTCGTCGTCGTCGTCGTCGTCGTCGTCATCGTCGCCGTCGCCGTCGTCGTCGTCGTCGTCCCCCATCCCATCTAGAGGGGGCCTATGGAACCCTCGGCATGTGATCCTATATTTCCCGAGCGCGCCCATCTTGACCCCCACCTCCTCTCTCCTCCCTCCTCCCCTCTCACCCTTTCGCTCCTGGAGTCTGACTAAGTTGCCGCCGCCGTGGCCCTGCAACCTCACAAGTGCCCAGGGCGGTGCTCTCAGATTTCTTCTTTTCTTCGGACTCAGTGATTGATTTTGCCCCACCTCCCACAGCGTGAGGCTAACGACCCGACTGCCTCTCTGCTGGCTCGCTCGCCCGCTC